GGAGTACGGGAAGGAGTAAAGTTAATTTTGATTGTTAACAAAATAATTGAAAAATATTATCATGAAACTATTCAAATTTCAATTTATTATAAAAATGATACCATCAAACTCAAATTTTATATTTTTTTTTCTTTTTTTTAAATTTTACCATCCATCGAAACTAAATCTTTTAAAAATTTACACTATAGTTTCTAAATGTAATAATGGGAGAGTGGTAATGAAATAATTATTTTAATTTTAAAAATTTTACACCATATAATCACTTAATTACTCATAAATAATTTCTTTAATCGAGTGGTTTTTTTTTTTTTGTAATTTTTCAAAAAAGTAAAAAAAAAAAAACAATTATAATTCACTTTATTTAATTGTTTTTGTTTGGTACTTTTGAGATGAGCCGGTGGGCCCACAGGATTGACTTTATTGGGCCCCACCCTATTGGCATGCATGCCTCTGCTTTTGTGCAATAAAATTAATGGTTGATTTATTCTTTAATTTGGGTTGTTACTTTTATTTCGATATCATTCCCAACATGGAAAACTATATATTATAGTTTTTATTTATTCATTTATTTTATATTATATGCTCAATCTGCTTTCAATTTCCACAATAATAACATTTTAAGAAGTTCTTCAAAAACAAATACGGAAAAAATAATTATCAAATTTACTGAAAAAAAAATTAAATTTTTCTATAATTTAAATTTTAAGTTTTTTATTTTTTGCATTTATAGAAATAGCAAGTGTATTAAATATTGGTCTAAAAGGATTATATTAGTCAAAATTTGAAAATTCAACATTATAATATTTTTTATTAATAAAAATGGTGGTCAACAATTTTATTTTATCATAATAAATGGAAGCTTCTTAGAAATTGAAACATGACATTGAATTTCAAAGTTGTCCCCAAATTGTCCCCAAGACTTCGTTTGGCTAATCCCGAAAAATAAAATTGAATAGTATTTAAAAAAAAACATAATTTTTCGAAGTTAATTTTCATTTATAAAAGTAGTAATTCAAGACAAATAGGTAACGTAGACATGTTGGAATTGTTGAAGACTAATAAGAAAGCCAACAAGGGTTGAACCCAGATTTCAAATCTACCTGGAACGTTACATAAGATTATACTTTTTTAAATGGTGTAGTTGTTACAACCTAACCCTAGATTCATTATTTCACATGGCATGCATGGGCTATACATTGACTTTAAGTCAAATAATAAGCTTTGATAACTAATTAATCCAGTAATGTTCATGACCTTCCCTTTTAAAAAGAAATAATGTAATCATGATTTAACCACAATTACCCACATGGGTTTTGATGAATGCCCCAAAAGAAGAAGAAGAAGACGAAGAAAAGAGGTTCAATATGAATGATAATGATAGGCATATAAAATATTTAGAATAAGAAAGATGGGTGTGGGTTTGATTGATGTTTCCCTTTTAGGGTTTTAGGGTTTATGAAGTTTGCATGTGATGTCTGTTCTTCAAAGCTATGATGCTTCCACTTCACTCTCTTCCCCATCTTCTTCCCCAATCAATCAATTCCACTTTCCACATTGTTCTAATCGTTTTTAGTTATGTCATTTTCGTTTTCTTAGTTGAACAAAGTTGTATATACGAGAGATTTGAATGTCTGACCTCTTAGCTAAGAGTATATGTGACTTTATCTGAGTTTTAGGTCCAAATAGTGTAAAATTATCATAAACTATTGTAGGATCAAATGAGTTATAAGGTTAAACTTGGCTACAACCTAGAAGGGTCACCTCCACAAATTGAACTAGACCTATTTTGGTTGATCCCTCCTTCGAATGGGTCAAAATAGTTAGCAAAGAGTTAAATTAGGCAACTTAGAAGGAAGATGTAATATCTAGAGATATAGTGTCAAATATTTATTTTAGGACGGATACATTTACATAATGACTAATTATGGTCATAAATTTTGAAAGTTTAGGGTTTTCAATAAGATTTTTTAGATCAAGTTCTCCGCGAGATACAATCATTTGAAATGAAATCAAATTGATTTAGGGTTTTAACTTTATGAATTAGGGGTTCACATGAGAGTTTTTGGATTCAATTGGCTAGAAGTCTCCTTATCACTCATGAGATCGGCCTAATTTGTTAGAAGTAAACCTGAGTCGAGAGGTTGGTTGGTTTGATAATGAACTCAATTAGTCGAAAGGGTCATCTTATTTATGTGTCAGCTCACTTAAAGTACAATGTCTAAGGGTTTTAGCATAAATCAGATATTGATTACTCGTATTTTGGTACCACATGTTGATTGGGATTCGAGCGTTAATTGAATATAACAAATTTGGGTATCAATCAGGTTTTATTGACGTATGCGCTCACATGAAGGAAGAATATAATTATAATTGAGAAGTTTGTTTATAGTTTATGAGAAAGATGGTTAAGGTAGGTATTGAATTAATTTATTTGGGAGATCCATGATTTGTTTAATATTATATATAAGACACAAGTCATACGCGGTTGGGTCAGTCTACTCACTTCCCAACTACTTTATTAATCACATAAATTACAGCTTTATTAATTTAATTAATTTAATTAATTCATTACTCAACACTCCTCATTTCTAGGCTTAATTATATCATTTTAATCACATTTTTTTAATTAATTATATCATTTTCAAAATAAAGAATATTATTTAATACATGTATTTTACCTTTTAATTCTGTTATTTTAGTATTAATCTGTAATTTCTAAATTTAAAAAAAAAAAAAAGTGTCAACGCCAAAATGTATAATAAGTTGAGTTGAGTTATTTATTATTATTTTTTTATTAATTTGGGACGGGGTTGAATTCTTGAAAAAAAAAGAAACAATTCACGGGCTAACATTTTTTTTATCTGGTCGAACTCAATCAACTTGAGAACATGAATTACAGCCTAACCCTACCATACTTTTAAAATTCAAAATATTTGACGTTTGTAACAGATATTAATCTTCCGTTTTAACTTGTGAATATTTGATATTTGAGTTTTATGAAATTTTAGTTATTCTGTAACTATACCCTTACGAAATACACTTATCAACCCTAAGATGTGAAGGTGACCCCACAACTATATCCTTAATATCTGAGGCTCGATAAGTGTAGAACAAGGGAAACAACTTATTAAGTCTTGCAATATATAGTTTTTTCTCTACAGAATCCTGTTTTTGGTGTCTGCAGAATCCTGTTTTTGTTGGCTGACAGAATTTTGATATTTTCTGTATAATACTGCAGTGCAAATTACCCACATAACTTCTCAGGATTAACTCGTAGAATGGGAATGCCTATTACCCAACATGCCTTATGAGGATTAACTCCTTCTTTCACAATGTGTTGAACAGGAAAATTAAATTGTCTTTGTTCGTTTAATGTTAATTTATGAATTTTTTAAAATAATTAAAAAAATAATGTGAGAACCCACCTTGAAATAGATGTTTGGATTGTGAATTTTATTTGAGTTATTCAGTCACCAAACCCAACTGACCCGAATTTCATATTGGTCGAAACCCTATGCATCAATTAAAAGCACATTAAGTAGGATTGGGCCTCCCATGCATGGTGTATAAATGGGCTTTTAAAGTTAGGTAATTGCATATAGTGCCATTTGGCAATCAATTTTACCCACAATTTTCAATTAATGTCCCTTTTCAATCATCTCCATAATATGCTCGAATCTCGAATTGTATTTATAAGAAATATTTTAAGAAATGTGGGTGAGAAAATACACTGAAAATAATTTGAAAGAAAGCAATGTTATAAGTTAAAAGAGATTAAGCAACAACAATAATTTTGATAACATATAATTCAGGTAGGAAGAAGTGACAACTAGTTATATTCCTTATAGTACATGACATGATTTTGGTGAACGATCGTACACTCTCATATCCGTCATGCAGCTACAATCAAAATGTTTTGGACAAGCATGACTATGACACTCGAAGAGTTAGAACACATAATAATTAATCATAAGTCCATTTGTTTGTGGTCCACAGTTGTAAGCCCAAAAATGATTAGCAAAGAGAAAGATTAAGGCGAATTGGGTCACGATTTCTTGATTCCGGCGACAAACCAAACCTTCTCCACCTTGTAACTCTCAACGCCGACGGCGGTGACTTCGATCCACACCACAATTTTGGTCTTCCTCAATTTCTATCTTGCTTGATGCCGGTAAAAACAGTCTGAATAGAGTTCACAATCCAATTTAATTTAATTCAAATCATAATCCCTTGAGTATTCAAATTATTTTTTATTCCCAATAATATGATTACAAATATCAAATATTCTTAATTTTCATAATAATTTTATAAACAGAATAAAATTATAACCTATTTTTAGATCGATCATATATATATTTATAATTTGAGTTGAGTAGTTTGGTTGAATCCTTAAATCCTTTTTGAAGTTTAAAAAAAATGCAAATTTTGGCTAAATTATTAAAATAAAATTAAAACTTTATTCATTATTAAGAAAAGTGCCTACTTTTTTTTAATAATTATAGAAAATGTATTAAAATGTTGGAAGAAAAAATAAAGATGACGTAAGATAATTATATAAATGAATAATTGTCCTTGTTATTTAAATAATTATATGGCCGTTGGGGCCTTAGATATGTCCTTGTTGTAACCTCGATATGAAGCTGGACATGACAATCCTAACTATCTTTTTTTTAGCATTTGGTCGTCTCCAACTACCAAAACTTGAATATATTGGGTTTTTTTAACATGTTTTGTTCTCATTCAATTATTTTTTAGAAAAAAAAATCTTAAAAAGCTTCGGAACATATAATTGTTTTAAGTAAAACGCATTTAATTTTGAAGTTTTTATGATTGCATTATAGAAGAGAATACAAATAATAACTTCAATTCTTTTAAATCGTCCTCGAATTCTTATTATCAAGAACACTCTCAAACCCTAATCCGATTCAAGACTATCAAGTACCCATAAACCTCAAACAAGAAAAAAAAAAAAAAAGAAAAAACTATTATCAATCCCATCAATAACCCATTTTCCTCGTGGTTTGGTCTTTAAATTGAGGAAGCGAATGAGGGCGAGAGATGCAAAAGAAAATGGAGAAGACGAACAAAGACGTTCCTCTTAAAGAACTTAGCGAGAGGGTAGCGGAATTCGCTCGAGTTAGAGGTTGGGATAAGTATCACAGTCCGAGAAACCTCCTCCTGGCCTTAGTAAGTCATTCCAAACATACTCTATCTTTTTGTTTTCTTTTTTGGTTGTGTAATTGGTTATAGAGTCGTTGGTGTGTTGATTATGGTAAAAAAGGTGGGAGAAGTGGGGGAGGTGACAGAGATATTCCAATGGAAGGGAGAGGTGGCGAGGGGGCTTCCCAACTGGTCCGCCGCCGACAAGGAGCACTTGGGGGAGGAGCTCTCGGACGTGCTACTCTATTTGGTTCGTCTTGCAGATGTGTGCGGGGTTGATCTTGGGCGAGCTGCCCTTTCCAAGATCCTTAAGAATGCCACTAAGTACCCTCTCACTCCTCACCAACAAATTCAACCCTAAACTAAACTTCAACATTACCCATCCCTCCTATTATGTTCTTAATCTTATCTTCTCGTTCAATTTCAAAATTATAAAGAGTGTTTTTTTTTTTTTTTTTTTTTTTTGTCGACGGTTACAAACAATAACTATCTTGAATATGATTCAACTACTTAGACATATATGTTGGATGAAAAAATTAAAGGTTTAACCTTTCCAACATTTAAATTAGCTCACGAATGCATAGATTTTTGTATAATTAGCATCATGGTTATTTGGTTGTAGAAAATAATATCAATTTTTACCACATAATGCTTTTTAACCCTTTTGAAATTATTTTTTAAAAAATGGATAAATTACAAGTTTAGCTACTTTTAAAATTACAAATTTTAAATTTTAAATATATCTATACAAAACTTAAAGTTTTAAGAATTAAATAAATATAAATACTTAGAAAAACGTATTTTCATATGCATTCTTTGAATTCTAAAACATATAATGTGCATATTTGTGTAAAATAGTATTGAATTCTAAATTTAAATTTATAATATTATTGACATACAAATTGACAGTTGACTTGACATGACAGTTTAATATCATTCAATTAATAATCACATTATAATTATTTGATCCAAAAAAACAGAAATCTAATTTTCAAAAAATTATCAAATAAATAAATATGGTTAATTTTTTTACTTATCTTATTCTATTTTATGGACACAAAGCCCTATTTTGATTATGGGAATTTGAATATTTCATAAAATAAAATCATACTTATTTTATTTATTTCTTATTTTTATGACACAATTAATGCACCTTCAATAATAATTGAAATCACATGGGAAGGAATAGATGGGTGCTATTTAGTAGACATTAATTTTTTTTTTTAAATAATAAATTATTTCATATTTTATTATTCTCAAAATTTTTAATTTTGTATTTAATTTAATTTTTTTTTTTTTTTTTTTTTTTT